TAGGACTCACAGTTCAGTTCAGCGTGACCAAGGGTCCTAGTCTGAGGGATTCCACTAGTTTCTAGCCAGTCAGCAAGCTTGCTCTCTTTCATGATTTTGAGCTTTTGTCTACATTTCCCCCCATTCTCTCTAGAACAGTGGTTTTCAACCTCCCTAATGCCGTGACCCTTTAATATAGTTCCTCATGTTGTGGTGACCCCCAACCATAAAATTATTTTTGTTGCAACTTCATAACTGTAATTTTGCTAATGTTATGAATCTGGTGACCCCTGTGAGAGGGTCATTCGACCCACAGGTTGAGAACCGGTGCTGTAGTTTCTTCAATGTGATCCTTTTCAGAGCAATTGATAGTCGTGGCTGAGTACCACATAGTTGTGGTCTCAGAGTCATGAGACTGATGTTTGTATAGTCCATTAGTCCCCTGGCCTAATTGTTTTAAATTTTCATCATTCGTTTTCCCTCGAGAAATGGAGGAACCAATAGTTTACTTTAAACACCCACTAAAGCATTTTTAAGACCCACTGAATAGACTGCAGAATTCTATGCACTTTTTAGACCACCCTCGTATTCCTCTCAGATTCCAAAGTCTGAGTGCTTATGATGATGCTTCACCTCTTGTGGGTACTGAGTTTCCAAATATATGTCTTATTTGAAGTATTCATTTAAACATAAAAGTGGAAGCACAAGTGTACATCATGGAAATCAAGACAAGAATTTTGTAGCCAGCCTTCGAGGTGCTGAAACTAGAAAGTTGTCCTCAGCTTCTGGGGCGTGTCCTTCTCCTTGGGCTCACATGGTGGTGGCCCTCCCTTTCTGTGCAAACGGTGTCCTGTGCTCCACCTACTGCTTGGTCCAGCTTCTCAGACTACAAAATGATCACTTCAGCACCAGGCGTTTTCATCCCTTTATAAAAATCCAGAGCCCTGGCCAAGCCATCCAGCTTTTCACAATATCACCTAGAGTTTGTTGTGAGTAAGGAATCTTATCTTCCTGGTGTGGGCTATGGATTATTTTCCTTTAGGTCATGTGTTCATCCTGGGATCACTTAGCTGTGGTAGTTGCTGATAGGTTGAGGGAGGGGTCACTAGAACCATTCAGGGATCTCCCACTAATGCTAGGGGGTGGAACCGGGTACAGTCTTCAAGGATTGGGGCTGAGTAACTCCCTTCCTGAAATAGCATAGGTCAAACTTCATTAAAGCAGCA